ACGTTATCGTTAATGTTGTTTTTTTGGTTGTGTTCGTCGTTTTATGTCATTCCTGTTCTCGCGGAAGTGACGAACTTGTGATTGAACAGGAGCAAAACATGCACATGTGAGAGCTGCATGGTGAGGAACCCAACTTTGCTTCAACTAGACACCACTTTAGACTTGAAGAAAAACTCCAGGCGTGGAGTATGGCTGAACCGGGACACTATCCTCCGCCGGACTTCGGCTGTCCCCCTCCTAATACCATCCAGTCTTTCCAGCAGCAGCAGCAACAGCAGCAGCAGCAGTCCCGCTCGAGCAGCTTCCAGCCCAGTATGTGGAGCTGGAGCGAGACACCCACCGAACCCGTCTGGGACTACAGCAGTCAGCCGGGATGGCAACACGGGGCAGCGGCAGGGTCTGGTTTCCCATCAGGCCGTGGAAATTATGGAGCTAAACGTCCATATGGTGAGTATGGCCTATACAGTAGTCTGTTAAGGTGATCAGTCACCTTAAAACCATAATTAGGTATTATTGGCAGCTTAAAATAATTATTTTAATCTACAATCAGAAAAAAACTTTACGTTTTCTCGTTTTTTATAAACCAATAATACAAAAACTTAGTGGGAACGAATTTAAGTGATACTCCTAGTTGTGTTACACTTCTAGAAGATTGTGAGGCTCACAAGAAACACATTTGAAAAAAAAGGATGGTCCAAATCAAAGCAACAGGGGCTGAGACATCCTGACTTGTAGTCCTTAGTAATGGACAAGATCCAAATCACTGACAGGATCCTACGTTTCCCGTAATGCCAGTTGTAGCATTGGTTAAATCACCCTGCCTGGTAAATGCCCATGTCTTTCAAACTCCAACCCTCCAGGAAATAATAATTATAATAGTTTGCTGTTTCCAACGTCAAGCTCAGATAACCCAGATGACATCACTCTGACACCATCAGGGTTATTTCTCAGACTTGACAAAGCTCCTCCAGAGCCACAGGAGACATTACACACCTGTATCCGCATGCTGAGTCCTCATGGTGTGTGTGTTACAATGTCATGCCTCTAACTTCATTCTTGTCTTCAGGTCAAAATTTTGGTCATGAATGGGGTCAAGGTGGACATCGAGGTGGAAGACCGAATTTCGGAGCCCCTAATAATCATGGGAAAAAGGTAGCTATCTGTTGGAACACTACCATTCAAATCATGACCAGTGCACTCTGAACTAGCCACATCATGAACTGATCTGTTTGTAATCCACAGCAAAGAAATAAGAAAGAACCAGAGTATTCCCATTTTTGTGACACCTGTGACCGGGGCTTCAAAAACCAGGAGAAGTACGATGAACATATCTCTCAACACGTCAAGGTAATTTTGCAAGTACATTTAGCTTTATTTTATTTTATTTATGGAAATCATTATTCAAAATTTCACTGACTTACTCCATCAAATCTCTTTCGTAGTGTTGTGTGCCCGACTGTAGCTTCATGGCTCATGAGAAATTAGTCAGCATCCACTGGAAAAATGTAAGTGAAACAACTCGCTGTGTATCTGAAACGTATGCTCTCAGTGTATTCCCTTGCTAACAGCAGTCTTTTTTTATCCTGACTGCAGAACCATGCACCAGGCACCAAAAGAATAAAGCTGGACACAGCAGAGGAGATTGCAAAATGGAGAGAGGAAAGGCGCAAGTCAGTATCCACAAATACATATCAAAAACAGTGGCAGCCATAAACTATTGATGACATTACACCATAAAATGATGTCATGGATTTTGCCTGTGATGTCTATTTCCAATCAGCAAAATGTGTTGTCTTTCCAGAAACTACCCAACACTTCAGAATATCGACAAGAAGAAAAAGTTGATGGAGGTGCGGGAGGAGACAGGAGCTGTTCTAGAGACCGCTCAGTTTGGGTAAATGCACATGTTTGATGTGTAAATGATGTATTTTGCGCTGCATCTTTTTATGTTCTCTTTTTTATTTGAAACAAAATCTAAAGTTTAATATTTCATTCACAGACGAATGAGAGGCAGAGGCCGAGGAGGATGGGGTCGAGGTCGGGGGAACAGAGGGTTCCATGGACAACACCCTCGAGGCCCTCACCCATCGGACAGCAGTGTTACAGGAAGACCTCCACCCCTCACCCAACCCGGCAGGGATGGGGATCCACTGGGAGCGCTGGCCAGCAGTGACCATGGTGAGTGATTGTGGGCGTCATTAACACATGGAAGAAATTTGATGTGATATTGTCCACATTTTTGGAACTATGTAACAAACAAATGTAACTGATATGTATTGCAATGTGTGTCTTGTGCTTCCAGATTCCGACAGAGAGGATGCAGCTCCTGAGGCCAGGACGGGTGGCCTGGTTGTGGCTCCTAAACAGATGAGCTCAGCTTTGGGCTCCCTGCTCGCCAACTATGGCTCTATGAGTGAAAGTGATGAGGAACCAGAGGGTGAGTTAACCAACATGCTCAACCTGCTACAGAACAGTATGTACATTACCTATACCATTAATATAACGGTGGCATATGACACGAAGAATGCAGATAACATTAAACAAGAGAGGAATTCCCTCAGCCATCTTGGCACTGCTGGCTGCATTTTTGAGTCACACTGTTGAATTTTTTGAGTGGTATTTCACACGTTAAGTTGACTCATGCTAGCTTTAAGTTAAGGGGTGTCTTTATTTAAATTTTTTAATAAATAAAAGCATTTCTTAGTGAGTCTGGAAAATTTTAGAAAGTGGCATAAAACTCGATAACTTCAAAGTCATTTAAAAAAAAAATCCAACAAATTGTAGAAATCAGACTAAAAGGCCTTTCACATGCCACATTTTTTTTGAGCCTTCACATCCACTTTTGTCACTTTTGAGTGTGCATTTAAGTGCGCGCACGTGTTCCTAAGTGCAAACACTGCACCACGAGTTAAATAAAGTTAGTTTTTGGAAGGCAGCACTGTGCACTGCATCTTATGTAATGAGGAACAACCTCATGAAAACATTTTCATCAGTGTGTTTTCATTTCTGCCAATATATCCCCCTAAATCTTACAAGCTGGACCTTTAATTAGGGTATTTAATTTGACAGGCTGTATTATAGGTAGGTTAGTTTTATTCTGTTAACACATAAGGGTTGTATATAAATCATTAGACAAAAAAACACATTGAAAAATGGCAAGTCACTGGAAGAAATATTTTAATGTAATATTCTTTTTCCCTGTGTTTCAGCCATCCCTATTAAGAGAGCCAAAGATCTTGTGCAAGAAAACCAGGCTCTCCTAAGCACAACTACACTGAACTCTCAGGACACAGGACCCTCTAGAGCCCCGCAAACCTCTTCACAGGTTACAGTGGCTCATAAAGACGGCTGCCCGAACAATGCCCTTCACACACCTAACAGCAGGAGAGGAAGAGGGGGACGAGGAAGAGGAGGAAGGGGTGGTCGAGGAGGACACCAAGATACACCGCAGACTCGTCGTGCAACTCTGCTTGAGATGGTAAGATTGAACAAGCATATTTTACAGGATTTTAAATTGAGAGAATACACTTCACTTTACTTATATTTGCATCTCTATTTTTCACTTTGTTTAGTTACTGGCTCCAGATATCCGCCATGAGAGGAATGTCCTCTTGCAATGTGTGCGCTATATTGTCCAAAACAACTTCTTTGGCCTGGAGAGCAAACCTCAGAATCAGAAGGGGATAAAGGATAAAGTCACACCAGCTATCCCAACCGGAGAGCATGAAGGGAGGCAGGAGAAGCCATCGGAGGAATCTAAGTCTGTGCCTCGGTCCACCTCTCTGGGTGGTGGAGAGAGGAGTTCAGCAGAAGTTAGTAATCAGGAGGATTTAGAAACAACTAAAGCTGTTGCAGATGACCAGTATTCTTGCTCAGAACCATCAAAGGACACACCTGAGGACTCAAGAGCAAGTGCTCAGCAGGTCACAGGGGATTTAATCCAAAATGCTGAGGAGACAACTGCCAAAGACTGCCAAAGCCTCTATTTGACGGGCACAGATAAAATCAGATCTACCTCTAATATTTATGATGATGAAATATGGGAGAGCCCTGGTGCTGTTATGTGAAATGTGAAATTATGAAAAAGGATTAATCTTATTTTGTTAGAAAGCATAAAAATCAGTTTTGTCTTTCAGAGACTGAATCTTTGAAATTAGTATTTTTCAAGGACTATCTTGTTTTTTTACATGATGCGATGTTAGTTTGACTAACAATATGCAGTTATATTTTTGTATCATGCAATACTTAAAGACTGTATTTTTTTCATGTGAAATAAAACAAACACTGTTGATCACTTTACATTTGTACAAATGTTTTTTTAATGATATTTTAAGCTTGAATTAGGGATATATGTTTATGTTTTGTTCGTGCAGCTGTTGAGTCATTAAGTGAAAGGAAATCCATAATAATTAGGTGTATTACAACTCTTTATTGCATCATATTATCAATTACAAAAGTATTATGAGCAGTGTAGTGGCAACATAATCGTTCACCTAAGTTTAGGCCAGAGAATGAGAGTTAGATTGATTCACCTATCCTTGCAGCAAATAAAGCCGTTACACCCAAACGAAACGGTGAAGAGGAAGCGGAGATAAACTGTGAAATCACTTGTTTTTGGAAAGCACCAGCTCCTTTTAATAATGAGAGTCTTAACTGACACTTACAGTATCAAGAAGATTAATTTACTCGATAATAAACAAGACGTTTTGGTTCCATATGAAGGTTTACTGCCTTGTGTCAGCAGCTGCACCGTCCACCTGGACTGCTCTAGTTTGTAAAACGAGCGCAACTGTCAGAGTCAGTCGTCGCCTAGAGACCACCTGAGCAGTCAACGGTTGCGTAGTACACCGTTTGGGTAGCAACAGTAAAGTTGACCATCGGTATGCGAGTGTGCAAGTCGAAAAAACTGCGCTTTAATTTCCTTTAAACGCAAGTTAAAGAGAAGAAGAACATGTTGTGGCGTCTGTAAGTCAGTAACGTAGTAACTAAAAAGTCATATCATGGCTGGAAGGTGTGTTCGAGTTGACCCACCGCTCGTCGAGTTCAACGATGTCAAAGTTGGGCAGGTCTACAAGACAACAGTCACGGCGACAAATACTGGGAAAGCTTCGAAGAAAATAATAATTGAAAAGACTGCGTCAAAGGTAAAGTGGGTGTTTTTTTAAATGAACTGACAAGTAATATGAAATCTTTAAAAAATAAAATGACGTAATTGACGTTAGCTAGCGAGTTTGGCGCTTATGCTAGCTACATTGCTCGTTGACGCTTGTTAGCTAGCACGTGCGAGAAATTACGAAAGCTAGCTAGCGAAATTTAATGATTGTTAATATTGATCAAGCCCAGTAATATAAACCAATCTATCTGTCTATCTATCTATCTATCTATCTATCTATCAGTTATTGTTTTTATTTATTCAGGGTTATGTTATCCTGTTTATCAATGGTCTAACGTAGTAGCTGAAAGTTAGGTGTTACTGCTATTAATATCAAATTGTTAGCTAATAGGTATTTGTACGCATAAATATATAATTATAACGTTATATATGTATGTATATTTTTATATTTACATACATATATATTTACTTATATATATCTTAGCAGGATAGTACCTTTTCTTTTTCTTCTTTTTATCGTTTTAATAGAGTTATCAATGTTTCAAGAGAGCCTCACTTTGCCCTACATACTCTCAAATGCTAACACATTATACTCTGTGTATTCTGTGTTAGCATTTAAATAGTAAGATGCTTATGTATGTCTCTTAAATGCATGTCTCTTAATGTTAAAGGTACCACCAAAGTTGTTCTTTCAAGAGGTGGAACTCACCAGAAGCCCCATGATACAATATTATCACGATATATTATCACAATTAGTAAATCAGGATAGTGTATTATTGAGATTTTAAATGTTTGACGAAATGCTGAGTAGTGCCATAACATATATGTCTATTTATTACCCATTTTCAACTGCCAATTATGTACCCAAAGAAAAACTTTGTCAACACCTGTTTTATCTAATAAGGTAAAGTTTTCATTCATTTCAATCATTTTTTTGCTGCAAAATGTATCTAGTTGACTGAAAAAGCAATTCATTTTATAATTCTAGTAGGTAACCAAAAGTTAAATTTGTATTTGCAATATTAAAATCTTTATAAAATAAAAAAAATCAATACTTGGCATTTTTACATCATTCAATATTGCCATGCACAATACTACAATGCAACGTTGTATCGATTTTCTCCCCTGCCCTTTATTCATGCCCTTTTCTCCCTCTTCTTCTTTTCCATTTGTTTCTTGTGCAGTTGTTCAAGTTAACAGCATCCAGTGCAGCCAAGGTGGTGGCTCCTGGTCTGTCTGTAAGTGGCTTGCTGGAGTTTACCCCAGAGAAAGAAGAGGAGGTCAGAGCCTGCCTTCTGATTCATATAGATGATGTAGAGACCATAAAAATACCAGTGCTGGGGTAAGAAGGCTACACACATGATGTATATTAACATATTACAGTATAGTAAAAATATTTAGGACCAAATACACTGCCTGTGACATTTGTTGACATCTCTACAGTGTTTTAACATTTCAACTCTCTGTCTGTCTTTATGTGCTCCTCTAGGTTTCCCAGGGCTTGTTCCTTCTTAATGGACTCAGCACTAGACTTTGGGTGTATTGCTGCAAATAGTCAGGTGATCAGCAAACATCATCATATAACCAATCAGGGATCAGCACCAGGTAAATCAAGTGTGTCTTTCTTGGCCTGGAGATACTGAATCTAAGTTGCTCACATCAGTATGACATACTCATTTTCTAAAAGACAGGCTCCATGACCCATCAAATTAAAGTATTAATCAAAACCTTTTTAAACGCCTGACAATGTCATTCCCTCTTTTGTCTTAATCAGAGTTCTTAATCAACCAATTCATATGAAAATGGTAAAAATCTTTCAGTCAGAGACATTGCAGAGACGGTTGTGGGATGCAAGAATAGAAAACATTAGAACACTCACATGATAAACAATGTACAATAGCTTATAACGTGAAAACATACCCACCCATGTGTTCTGTGGATTTCACTATAGACAGTCTGTAAATACTTAAAATACAGTTTGAGTTTTGAAATAAAACAGATAAAGATGATTTTAAGGATTTTACAGTTGATTAAGAAAAACGAGAAACAAACAAGTCTATTAATTGTATATAATGCTTTTATTGAGGAGACTGATCTAATACTGTTGTGCAAGTGACCTCATTCTTTCCCCTTTCCTCATTTAAAACACTAATATTCAACATTACAAAAGAAGGCTAGTGGTAGTTGATAAGATATAATATACTTGCATTTCTTTATGAAGACATCTTGTCTGATAGCATATTCATGCTGGACTATGTGAGAAAGAAATCATGCAGCACTGTGTGCACATAAAATGTGACCTGTGCATGTAATTCGCAGTTCCACATACACATGTGCATGTAACTTGGTACAGACAATATGTTGCCCAGGGCTGGTATTCTCATTTTCTTAGATGCAGTGAGCTTTTTTTATGCTAAATACATTGCCATTGATAAACTGTTGTTCGAGAAAATAGGTTTGCCCTGTTAACACATGAACTGTCTGGATGTGAAGGTATCTGTTCTCAGATTTAAACCTGTACTGGGATTGCATTAAGCAGTACAAACAATTTACTAAATTCAGTCCATGGAAATACTCATGTGTTTGTGTGTGTGCATTGGAGGTGAGTTTCAGGTGCAGTACAATGGAGACCCCTCAGTCAGACTCTCGCCCTTCAGTGGAGTCATAGCACCTGGTGCCACCCAGCGGCTTAAAGTGGAACTGCGCACAGACAGGCCGAGGCAGATTGATGAGAAGGCTCTGTAAGAAAAGCTCTGCAACACCAGTCCAAGATAATTGTGAACACAGATGACATGTATTGAAGCAGATTTTTGTAGAAGCTCAAAAAATTAGCTCTTGATATTTTGTGAAGGAGAACACATTGTAAGTAGGGGTAGTCTTACGGGAAAATAATTGCATCATTTTATGCTGGGAAATGTACATCAAAGTACACGTCCACTTTACATATGCCTCACCCTCTCTTTGTCACAGGCTGAAATTCCAGAATCACCCTGCTGCAGTTCTCAGTATAAGGGCTAAGGTGGTGGACCAGCGCCTTGAGGTTTTTGACCTGCAGGTAATTCAGTGGTTCCTGTGTAATTGATATAGCACTTAATGGTGATAATCCATTGATCCTTTATCTCTGTAACTGGTGTTCATGTAAAGATGTTTGTGCTTATTTCTGTAGCTGAACAAAATATAACTCTGTGCTGTTTTACAGGGGGCTCCACTGTCCTGTCTGTGGTTTGGACCTGCATACTTTGGGACGTCCCGTGTGGAGAATGTGTTTTTGAGAAATAACGCGCCCACGGCATGTGACTGGGTCTGCCTGCTCCAGGACACTGCTGCTGGGACTGAGGTGGTGAGTGATGCCCTCAGGGGAAGTAGGTGTAGCTGCCAGTCTGCACAGCTGCTATGCAAATAGGCATTGTTACAGGTTGGAGACCAGTTGTACTAAACTAAAAATGAAACAATGCTTTGACTGTGATGGCTGTGTAGGGAACAGACCTGCAGAAGAGCACAGATGCCGCCCTGCTGGAGAGAATGAAGAGGTGCAGTCCAGCCACCCAAGACGTCTCTCAGGTCCTGGTATGTGTTCCCAAGCAGGGTCAACTTAAACCGTATGAAAAAACCACTGTGGCAGTGTGCTTCAGCCCCATCTGTAAGAGGTAAGTTGTATATGAATGTGTCTGGAAAAAATACAACTACTTTTCTGAATTTAATGCCAATGAATGTAACATACACAAACATTTATGTTAAAAAATAAAATAAAATCATTCTGTAGTACAATGTCCTATTGAAACAAGATAAAGGTTAATGTCATAGGCAGTGAGTGAAACATGAGGTGAATGTAATGACACTGTTGGGGAGGGGAAAAGAAAAAGTGTTACTCCCCGTCGGGGAATCGAACCCCGGTCTCCCGCGTGACAGGCGGGGATACTCACCACTATACTAACGAGGAGCTGGTTGAGAAAAAGGAGGCGTGGCCTCCTTTTGTTGTTTCCACAACAGAATGACACTGTCTCTTACAGAACAAGTGAAGAGAAGAAACATGACTATTCAGCTAGCCGGCAAGACTACTGCCTTTTCTTGCTGTTCGAGTCAGTGGGAAGCAGATATGGCTTCACTCACCACAATGGTACTCACGCCACACACACACACACACACACACACACAAGGTGTATTGCAAGCTCACAGAGGAACTGTTCTGAGCCAGCAGTTCATATGATTTAATGAGCAGATTATTCATTGATTTAATAACTGATAAACTGATAATTAAAGCTAAATGATACTGATATTTTGATTAAACCTTTTCCCCTGTCTCTTTAGGTAACAGCAGTGTGGAGCTGGCAGTGACAGGCTCTGGACTTCCTGTGTCTCTGGTGCCAAGTCCCTCTCAAAGATTTGATTTCCTCACCTGTGTGACAGGCCAACGTGTGGACCTGCTGTGTGTTCTGCAGAACCTCTGCCCTCAACTCCCTGTCAACTTCCGCTTCCGCAAGGTAGCACATTTCACCACCAAGCCCTCCACTGGCACAATAGCGCCTGGGCAATGTCAGGTAAGGATGGTGATTGATTCAGTTCATTTATTTATAAACCCAAGCGGAGTAGCAAATGTGGGAATTTTTTTTTTCTTTTGCATTCTCCAGGATGTAGTTTTGTCTTTCACCGCACGGCAGCAAGGGAGCTTCCGTGTGTGTCAGACGCTAGATGTCTTAGGTCATGTTGTTCAGAGGGGTGGCAATACTGCTGAAGATATTACTGGACTTGAGCTTTGCAGCTTCCACACCCTCACTCTACACCTGTCTGCTGTCTGCCGCAGTGAGACGACACACCCCGTACCCAAACTGAATCCTGGTAAATATTGAAGGATAAATCCCATGAAAAGATGAAAACCAACAATGCATCTGTCTCTGATTATTTTGATTTCCCCGCCCTGTCTGTGGCTCTCAGTCCTAGGCTGGTGTCTGCTGCAGACAAGGTTTTTAAAACAGCTCACAGAATAAATGCTCAGTAATTTCTTAAAATAGCCAACATTGTAGTTTTTAAATATGACTAAATATTACTCAAACAGGGGAAATAGTACATTTGCAAGGGACTATTTTCAACAGCAGTTTTATCCAAATTTGGGATGCTCCTAACAATAGATTTTCCTGATGTTTAAACATGAGTTTAAATGTTGTCTAAAAGTAAGAAAATGCTCATACAGTCAAAATTGAGCATAGTTTAATCTATAAGGTTGTCTGAAAAAATATTGCGTAGATTAGACAGTAAGAGATGTTTGAAATTGTTTCAATGACCAAAACGTATTTTAAACTGCACTAAAATGTGTGGCATTTTGCACTGTGCATTCTTAACATTGTACATTATCCTACAAAACATGACAACACCTCCTGAAATAAAAGTAAATGAAAGATACACTACAATTTGTTTGTTAATTGTAATGAAAGAACATGTCATCAATTGCAACAGTGTGGCTCACGGGTGTGTTTTTGACAACAGTGGAGCTCTATGGCACAGAGGATGAAGATATATCAGTCACTGGTACACTCACAGTAATTGTTAGATTTGTACATATATACAGTACAGGCCAAAAGTTTGGACACACCTTCTCATTCAATGCGTTTTCTTTATTTTCATGACTATTTACATTGTAGATTCTCACTGAAGGCATCAAAACTATGAATGAACACATGTGGAGTTATGTACTTAACAAAAAAAGGTGAAATAACTGAAAACATGTTTTATATTCTAGTTTCTTCAAAATAGCCACCCTTTGCTCTGATTACTGCTTTGCACACTCTTGGCATTCTCTCCATGAGCTTCAAGAGGTAGTCACCTGAAATGGTTTCCACTTCACAGGTGTGCCTTATCAGGGTTAATTAGTGGAATTTCTTGCTTTATCAATGGGGTTGGGACCATCAGTTGTGTTGTGCAGAAGTCAGGTTAATACACAGCCGACAGCCCTATTGGACAACTGTTAAAATTCATATTATGGCAAGAACCAATCAGCTAACTAAAGAAAAACGAGTGGCCATCATTACTTTAAGAAATGAAGGTCAGTTAGTCCGGAAAATTGCAAAAACTTTAAATGTGTCCCCAAGTGGAGTCGCAAAAACCATCAAGCGCTACAACGAAACTGGCACACATGAGGACCGACCCAGGAAAGGAAGACCAAGAGTCACCTCTGCTTCTGAGGATAAGTTCATCCGAGTCACCAGCCTCAGAAATCGCAAGTTAACAGCAGCTCAGATCAGAGACCAGATGAATGCCACACAGAGTTCTAGCAGCAGACCCATCTCTAGAACAACTGTTAAGAGGAGACTGCGCGAATCAGGCCTTCATGGTCAAATAGCTGCTAGGAAACCACTGCTAAGGAGAGGCAACAAGCAGAAGAGATTTGTTTGGGCCAAGAAACACAAGGAATGGACATTAGACCAGTGGAAATCTGTGCTTTGGTCTGATGAGTCCAAATTTGAGATCTTTGATTCCAACCGCCGTGTCTTTGTGAGACGCAGAAAAGGTGAACGGATGGATTCCACATGCCTGGTTCCCACTGTGAAGCATGGAGGAGGAGGTGTGATGGTGTGGGGGTGTTTTGCTGGTGACACTGTTGGGGATTTATTCAAAATTGAAGGCACACTGAACCAGCATGGCTACCACAGCATCCTGCAGCGACATGCCATCCCATCCGGTTTGCGTTTAGTTGGACGATCATTTATTTTTCAACAGGACAATGACCCCAAACACACCTCCAGGCTGTGTAAGGGCTATTTGACCAAGAAGGAGAGTGATGGAGTGCTGCGGCAGATGACCTGGCCTCCACAGTCACCGGACCTGAACCCAATGGAGATGGTTTGGGGTGAGCTGGACCGCAGAGTGAAGGCAAAGGGGCCAACAAGTGCTAAACACCTCTGGGAACTCCTTCAAGACTGTTGGAAAACCATTTCAGGTGACTACCTCTTGAAGCTCATGGAGAGAATGCCAAGAGTGTGCAAAGCAGTAATCAGAGCAAAGGGTGGCTATTTTGAAGAAACTAGAATATAAAACATGTTTTCAGTTATTTCACCTTTTTTTGTTAAGTACATAACTCCACATATGTTCATTCATAGTTTTGATGCCTTCAGTGAGAATCTACAATGTAAATAGTCATGAAAATAAAGAAAACGCATTGAATGAGAAGGTGTGTCCAAACTTTTGGCCTGTACTGTATATTGTTGGCTTTGGTCTTTTCATGGGATTTGTTAACATTTGGAAGAATACTGAACATCATCAGACTTAAATTAGATGATTTTGATAGATGTACCTATCCTGCTCTTATTGGCTGCTTTGTAGGTATAACTCCAGCAGTAACCAATTCAACCGGATCACTGCCACACATTCGGTCCAGTGAACTGGCACGTTGTCGTGGGATGGTGAGTGCTGCCGTCCTCTGTGCTGACAAAACACAAATCCACCAACATCACAGGAAGAGGAGTCAGAACACAGAAGGGACGGAGTTCCTGGCTTTTCCTAATGACCGGGCGACAAGCATCAGGCCTGCGTCTGCAAACAGACAGTACAGGTAAAGTTCAAAGAAATCCTCTTTTGGGGCAGCCAGGCCACCTGATAGGAATGTGTACCCCATATTAGAGTCCTTTGCAGCGGCCGGGGTTTAATTTCAGCCTGCGGCACTTTGCTGCATGTCAGTCTGCATGTCAATCCCCTGCTGCACTGTAATAAAAACAGAAAAAAAGAAACACTCTTTCACAGGCTCAGTACAGTTTGTCAAGTGAAACGTGTTTGAAATAATCAACGACAACAAATCAATTTCTTCCCAAAAGTATGAAATGGACATTCAAGTACTTGTTAAAAACACTTTCAAACCAAACATTATTTATCTCCTTTAAGCAGACTGACAAGTTTAAATGTTGACTTTGTGGTTTCCTATACTTTACTTTTTAAATGGGCTTATTGCTTAACAACACCAAATTTTACTTTTGTTGTTGTTAAAATGATCCAAGTTTAAAGATTGCACAGTAACTGGTTCCTGTCTTTATCGTGCTCAGGACGATCTTCACTGGTGTACACCGCTATCGCTACGTGGACACTGACTATGCTTTCACTGAGGAAGAGGAGGAGCAGAGACAGCGCCATCGACAGGTTTACACAGATTTCATCAAACAGCTCAGACAAACACGCCTGCTGAGGATCAAGGAGAGGTACGCCTTCTTATGAATTTTCTGTTTGCTGACTTAAAGGCCCATCTCAAACTGTTTTGTCATGAAGTAAAGTAAATATTGCAGTTGGACCTTTTTGGGGGGTTATTAGACAGGAGGAAAAAGCAGAGGACGAAGTGGATATTGGGATTGTTCCTTCTCAAGGGCTTGTTCCACTTACACTCCGCATCAGCGACCTGGAGAGTAGTAAGATCTCAGATACCAAGCCAAACTACAGCTCTGCTTTTCCAGCAGCTAAAAATTGCTGCCCCAAAGACGTGACATCAGACACTCAGCAGGCTAACAGTCAGGTCAGATCAAAGGTTGTCTAAAGAATGGTAACAGATCAATCAACTAATACACAAAGTGGAAATCCAATGCACAATTCAGGATTGAGTTTTCTCCATCTCGTCCACTCTCACCAGGTAATAAATGCAGTTCCTTCTACCAGCCAGGAGGTGGCAGACTGCAACAGGACTCTGACACCTCAGGAGCTCTACCAAGTCGTCATAGGTTAGAGCTTCAATTCAGAGCAGTCACTGTTTCTGATAAAAGTGTGTGTACAATTTATTTGTGTGATAAGTAGTCTTGGGGTTTTGTGTGTTCTTGATAGTCATCTGATCAAATAATGTACGAATTGTCAAGCAATTCCTACGTGAGGAGGAATGATTTTTTATATTGAGAAAGGTATAAAAAAAAATCTCATTATTTCCTCATTAGGTCCATTGTTAGTGGACTTTGGCGAAGTTTGTGTACAGTCAGTGTGTGTTAAGAAGCTGGAGTTGATCAATCATCTGTCAGTGTTCGTGTTGGTGCAGTTGGAGGTGGACTGCTCTGAGCTGCAGGGCTCCTCACCCCTCTCCCACGTCCTTCCACCCCACTCCTTCAACACCCTACCACTGACATTTCAAAGCAACAAGCTGGGTCACTTCTACAGGTTGGTGGAGGAGGCAGCTCAACACACTTTTGCTATGAACATTATTTATTGCAGTTCAAGTGCTATATAAAGACACTTCTTTCCTCTAGGCCTGTATCCTACTCTGTGAACAAGCAACATCTTGGTCAGATACTGGTCCAGGCCCAGGTTGTCCCCTTGGCTCTGGAGCTGTCCACCACCCTGCTGGTACTCCGTCCCACCCCCTCTCTGCTTGCCCAATCAGGATACAGAAGCTCAGTTACCCTTCGAAACCGGCGTAACCTTGCTGCAGAATTCACATGGAGACCATTGGTCACAGAGAGTGGCATCCTGTTCTCCGTACGACCAGCTACAGGTACTAAAAGTGCAGCTCAGTTTAAGTGTCTCAGGGTGTAAGTACCTGGGTTAGCATTTTCAAAGCCTTTATATCAAGAGTATCACTTTGCATCTTATCCCTCCCTGTTGTGGTTGTCTTTAATGAGCTTTATTGTTAATACGCATTTTTTATCAATAGATTTGCCTGTCCGAATTAGGGCTAATACAACAAATCTACCACCCAACCTCCTCAGGTACTGTGGAGCCATACAGGGAATTAGACTGTGAGGTGGTGTGGCATCCCTCCTTCTCCTCCCCTTCAGAAGGAGACTTTGACCTCTGTGTCCATGAGGGTAACATGCAACGCCTGCACTGTATTGCTCAGGTCTGGCCCTACAATAGGGAAGATTACTTTGTATAAACAACTTGTATTTACTGCTTGTTTGCTTTGGGTCATACCACAACTGCATGCCAAGCAACATTTTCAGCAACTACTTTTACTATACCTGTATTCTAAAATTAAAAAACAAGTGAACTTGGAAAATGCTGAAACACATTTTCATAAACAAATACATAAATGCTTTCTAAGTGTCAAAACATAAATAGTGAGTGAGTAAGTAAAGAAAGTAAATAAGTTTATTAATTTATTTTTAGTTTAAAAGTCAACTCATTCTTTATTGAGTTGATACATTGGCCATAATAGATGTGTCAGAACCATGGATATCATCAGGAAAGACAGATTGAGAGGAACAGAAAACATGCACGTTTTGGCGAACCAGAGATGGGAAGTGCGTATATATGGACAGAAGGAGAGAGGTGTCGGACTGAAACTTATTTTTGGAAATACTGCAACCTCATTAACATACTTTATTGTTGCCCGATCTATTATTATCCCAAAAGAGAAAACAGATAAAAAAATTAAACTTCAGACTTAATGAGAAACTTGTGCCTGCTTCCTCAAAACGAACCTGTCACAGCATGGAATAATCAATGGCAACAACAGATGGTGAATTATCTTTATTTTTTCCTGTTTCTTCTTCTGTGCAGTCTATTTCCTACTTTAGTTTTTGTAGTTGACAGAAAGTGAGGTTTTCACAGTTGACAGAGAAAGCAAATTGAAGTGCTCTGTCATTCCTAAATTCCTAAATGATTAGGCCTTGTGCTTTTTGTTTGTTCAGTCAGGATGGTAGCAGTGGGGGGAGGAAGCAGAGTTGAACAATGATGTCCTTTCGCGTCGCTTTACATCTTTGCCATCCAGCAGCCAGCACTGGAAGATCATTGTTTTATAGGCTGGGTTTGTTCCCAGCCCTCATATCTTTACCAAGATGTGAACAAGTAGTCCGCTCCCCTCACATGCAACCCTGTGGAGTTTTCAGGGGTGCACCTGGGTTTGTTTATACACATTAGAGAACAGCTCTGTCTTAGCGAACTCATAAGGGTCCAAAATCTAACATTCGAGTATTAATGTACACTTGAACCACCTGCTGTAATAACATTGTTGTCAGTTTCGTCACGTAGAGAAAAAGTCTGTGGTCAGTAGTGAGAAGTTTTTTACAGAAGCACTGAGGTATCAAAACATCTACAGAAATCTTTATCAGTTCAGCACTGCAATATTGTTCTCAAGACAGCTAAAATTAAAGTAAATAGCAAAGAGACTTTTAACAATTTAAAACATTAGTGATAAGTGAAATGAAATATTAAATAGACTCCTTATTTAACCAGAGCTCAGCAATCATATGAGGCAAAATCCATCAAAGAGGCAGATATCGATTTCTCCTCTTGACAGCAGCCTCAGTACACCAGAACACAATTCAGCAGCAAGAAATGTTGTGTTTTAAGTACTGTATGGCTTGTGACTTTCATGCTTTTTTCAATGGAAAAACTCCCACTCATACTTGCTGCTCAGTCATCATCATCATTACTATTGCTCTTTTCTCTGAGTTGTACACATGCTCCAAATACATGTGCTCAGGGGGCTGTCAAAAGTCACTTTGTAAAATGTGAGAAATCAGTGACTAGAGTAGAATTAGACAAGGCAGGTCAAGGGAGAGTGGGTGAACTACAAATGAATAATACAATGCTATGGATTTATTGTCACAGAACAATTATATAAAACATTGAGAATTTTCCTCTTTCCTCACTGTCCTTCTCTCAGGTTGGGTCTACCAGTGTCCAGCTGGCAGAGAAACAGGTCACATTTGGATCAGTGCCTCTCAACATTCCTTCTGTAAGAACTGTAGTCTTACACAACACTGGACAGAACCATGCCTACTACCAGGTGCCCCATCACCACCCACACACACTTACAGGCACACTCGTATGATACTTGCTTTTGCTCACACACTTACTAAACAAGAAAAATAGTCAGTCTCTCTCTCTCTGCTCTTTGTCTCTTTTTGTTTGTTGCAGGTGCTTGATATGTGCCCTCTGCCAGGCATGGTGGTGAGGCCATCTGAGGGCGTGGTGCCAAGTGGGGGGCAGGCTGCACTGAAGATCCACTTCAACCCCAACTCTGTCATCAAGTTTGACACCAGAGTGGAGGTGAGAGAAAGAGGAAGAGAGAGGGCCATTTCATTCATGTTGGGATGATTTGTTTATGTGTGTGTGTGTGTGTGTGTGTGTGTGTGTGTGTGTGAGCAATGAAGAGAGGAATTGATGTACACTAAGCATGTGTATATTACAGATTGCTCTGAGGAACATGAAGTCCATTGAGCTCAGAGTGGGCGGTTCGGTGGAGCCTCCAAATGTAGACATCAGTGTGGTGAGTTTCTAGCTTGATAATGCCATACCAATTCGCAAATGTGAATTAGTCTGCCCAGAGGAAAGGACAATTCAAAAGAAGATCTCTTCTTTATCCAGCCTGAGAACAGAAGTATTACTCTTGTCTCAGTCTGATACAGATTTAAGATCTTATAATGCTTTTTATGCCTCTCTCACTGCAGTAATCCTTATTTCTCCAAAATAATCAGCTCTTGAGATAACAGTAACATCCAAAGGAAAACTTGATTGGCTTATAAGCGAGCCTGCACAATTCAAGACATCTGTCTCAGTTATTCAATTTAAGTCTCAACTTTGTGTATTTTATCGGTTTACAGAGTTGAGAAGCCTCTAAGCACAGCAAAAGAACTCCTGCTGATTTGTTCTTCTGCTCTTTATTTCTTCAAAGATGTAGTGTGTGTGTGTGTTTGTGTGTCAGAGAATTTAGCAATCACCAAATAAGGTGATTTATTTATGTTTAGACAAAGAAAAGATGGTTGTGTGCAGCAAAATTTTCCTCTGGGTGGAACCTCTCTGTTTATTGTTTGATTTCCAGGGGGCGTTAAAAAAAAGCTGTGGATCAAATTCTTCTTGATGCAAGTTGATAGACCTACAATTAAGGGGTATCAGAGGACAAGCCAGATGTACCCAGATTTTAAGTTTTACTTCAACTTGTCAGAGCTGGCATTAGCAACACATCATTAGCTGTCTGATAGGGTAGCAAAATTCAGCAATTTTTTTTTATCAATTGGCTGACATATAGATGAAAGACAATAAGAACATCCAGTAAAGAGAAAAGAATATAAATATGTATATAGAGGAAAACAGAAAAAAAGACTTCTAATAACTGAAAGGTATTGTATTCTTCAGGTTTGCCATTGATGAAAATGGATGGCGTGATGTCCAACACATAACAATTATTACCTCCCATTTACACCTCCAGTAATCTCATTTGTCATATTAATGTCATTACAATATGTAATCGGTGTTGGAGTGTAATGCTTCTGTGGTTTGATGATAGGGTTTCATTTTTTAAAAGCTCACTTGTCATATCCCAGTAACACCTCAAAGAATATATTGCACATGTACATGCACACATTTGAATTTGTGGCCATGGATCCTGGGGCACTCTATTTTGAAATGGACTCCTGGATCATTCCCATGGTTTTTATAATTACTATTCTCCACAGAGGTGATAATACCCTGACTCGTAGATGTAAAAAAACAACAACAGAAGAATAGAGGGGGAGTGATGGTGTCAGGAGTAAGAAAAGACGTTAGACTTTGTGTCAAAGGGTGTGTATGTGTGTGAGAGAGAGTGTTAGCATGTGTGTGCCTGTCTGTGTGTGTGCGTCTTTTGAAACAGCAGGGGTTGCACCTTTGAAAGAAATGAAGTGAAGGATACTCTGCTTTTGTGCTGCTCCCGTCGTTTAAAGCAGAAAATTATTCTTTCTCTTTCATTCCTGTTTGCTATTGCAGTTGAGGTTCTGGAACAGAGTTTCTTGGCAAAGCGTGATTCTTATGTTCTTTGTAACTTCAAGAGTGGAGTTTGTAGAGTTCTCTCACTCGAATTTAACATGAAAGGAATTCAATCAGCTAGACTCTCTCAAAGTACAATGAAAGTTAACAATGTTCCCCTTTCTGTATGATATTGGTATCATTGTTTACTCCGCTGAAATGTTAAATAAGACAATTAGAATAGAATTTTATTGATTTCATTCATCCGATACACCAACAATGCTGGTATCAGGCCTTACAGTCCATGCAATTTTCCGGGGTTTCAAGATATCCACCTTATATCTACTTTTGCTAATTTCGCCCCCGCTCTTTTCAGTCCCATTTCCAGTTTTACGGGGTCCATGCTGGCTCTCAGCGAGTGATACCATTCACTCTGACAAACCACTCAAAAGCTGCAGCCAGGGTTACGTTCGACCTGGCAGAGTACACAGACTTCTCTTTACACCTCCCTCAGCCCTTAGCAAGTACGTACTTACACAATATGTCTTAAGAAGAATAATAGTGTTGTATTGCTGTCTGTGTTGTCTGTAATTACAATATTCAAGATGAAAATGTTTATGCAATTAAAATACACAGCAAACTATTTTGTTTTTGTCTTGAGGTTTGGACTATGTGTGCTTTTGTTTTTGTGATTTTTTTTTCTGTGCATTTTCACAAACAGACAAGGAGCTAGGTGTGAGTGTTGTGGAGGTCCAGGGCAAAACCACAATAGACTGCTCCCTTGTCTTCTCCCCCACCCAGGTGAGATTTGACAAAACATCTCCCAGTGGATTCAGTGGAAACATCTCTCAGTGGACTTGGTGTTGCATCCACTGGGAAACTGAGTGGGCAAAGCTCAAATGCACATTTAGCATCAGCAAGTTGACTGTTCTCTAAACCCCTCCTCTTAACAGTGAATGTCCAATCATAGCTTAGCGACCTTTAGTAGGCAAAGCAGGCCTGTCAAGCTTTGGATTTTCTTCCCTTGCTCAAGTCATGTGTATGAGGCTCTAAGTATAAGTCTGTAAGGCAGATACTCAGTATACATAGTAGTGTTGTCACGATACCAAAATCTTTGTTTCGGTAACAATACCAATATGAATTTCGATACTTTTCGATACTCTTCGGTACTTTTCCTAAGGAAAAGTCCTTTTGGATACAAACCTTTTAGAGCAATAAATAGTAGGGGTGTAACAGCACCAAAAAAATCATGGTTTGGTAAGTACCTCAGTACGGACGTCACGGTTTGGTAACTCAAATGTCCCACCAAGTTTGTGTTGTCTCGTGTTCTTTGCGAGGCAGACTTTCTCTTGTCTTTTTTCACATGCGCCAGCTGCGAATGTTGATACAGGTGTTGTCATACACACCACTTGTGCAATCTGTGCTCCAATAGGAACAAGAAAGGCGTTTGTGTGCATAATTGAGTAAAATAAATTAACTAAATTAATGAATTGAATCAATTTCAAAGTACCAGTATTTTCCAAATGCAGTATAGTACCGTTTGGAATACTCTAGTAGTACCGCGGTACTATTTTAGTACCGGTATACCGTGCAACACTAATACATAGAGGAGTCTAACGGTTGTGTTATTTTTTTAGTCTAGATTTACCTCCAAGGCTAAGGAGCATTGACTACATGTTTTACATTCATGGGGAAATAATTTCTGTTAAAAAATGACTAGCACTTCTTCTGTTTAATGTATCCCCACATTGTCGAAGCCAGAGGTCCAGGATGCTATCAGAGTTTAGGCTAGCATAATTAGCTCTTTCCTGCCCTTTATTGGACTTGGGGAACTTTGCACTACAAAACCCCAGCCAAACCTGTTAACTGAGATAGTGTTACAATAGTACTCATCCTATAATAAATTTATCTGTTTGAAAATATAAGTTAAGCAGACAAACAGGGTTATGTTAGAATGAAATAACAGTTTGATCTTTCACGTTTCCTTGTCACACGTGCATTTTTAAGACTAACATAGGCTTAGTTTAACTTAAACATTATCAAAGAAAATTGTCATTCATCAACATTTTAGTAAACATGCCAGTTTTAGTAACTGCAGTCATTTGGCAATATGTTTTAAAACTGAAAACAATATAATGTATTAGCTTGCTAGCTACAGCTGATAAAAGATTGCTAGAAATGCGAAGCCTGTTGTTGTCTACCTAGGTCTGAATTCAAGGGCCAATGGTTTCCAATGTGAAAGGTGCTTGCTGCTACCTTTTTCATGAAGTGTGTAACATCATGACTTTGTTTATACTCTGGATATCAATCCAACACAACTAAAGGCAGTTCAGGTGGCATAAGAGGCAGCAAATATGACCTTGAATTTCTAGCAGTTGATAATCAAACAGTAGCAGGTTGTAGAGATGCTGGAGTAAACTTTTTTATCTTTTCAAAGCTTGTAAGTGTTGGCAGAGACGACCCAATGCCTTCTCCATTTAGATTTAGCCATAATAAGCCATCTGAAATTTGTGTTGTTCACTGCTGCTAGTACATGTAGTGTTTTGTTTATATCCCGCTGAGAAGAGCAAGTTGATTTAAGTTAATGGCTCATGGCTAACCACTACAAAATCTATACAAGCATAGCAACTGTAACTAATGGGGTCAGGGCTTAGTGAACGGTCAATTACATACCTTGCTCCCTCTCATGGTCAAGCTTTAAAATGTGTGTTTGTGAAAGTGGTTTATTAAAATATCAAAGAAGATAGACAGTCAGGGTAATGTTTTCCCACAGGTGGCCAGTTATGACTTTGACCTGCCACTGATGGTCAATGGAGTGAAATGGCCCACTACTTCTCTGCCTCCCCTCCCCACTCCATCCTCTTCGTCCACCCCCTCCTTGCTGTCAGCTGGCAGCAGGAAGCATGTCGCCAAACCTCTTCACCAGTCTGTCACCATGGCGACACAACGGTCACAGCGCATACAGGCCACAGGTGGGGTCATTAATGTGGAGTTAGAGTCGTGTTTGTGTGTTAGTGAGTGATATCTATATTTTAAATTGTAATCACCATCTTTCTCCTGCTGGAAGGAAGCGTAAATCACTACATCAACTACTGTTACATTTTATGTGTACAGAACAAATGTCACACATGGCACAAGGTCCACAATTTAATGTAAAGTTTTTCCTTCCTGTGCTGTTTTTTAAAATGTTTATAGTGCTCTGCGCCCCACTGGAATTGTCCCCCTCTAGCCTACAGTTCCTCGTGGAACCCCTGGCACCACCCTCTGATGCTTACACTAAGGTATCAACAAGGGTTTATCTGCAGATTATCATTTTCTTGCCTCCTTCCATTCCTAAATATTCCCTCTATTTTTTTAATTTTTGAAGCTTTCCCTGCACTTTTACTGGCTATCCTCACTTTCACTTCTACTTGACATCTTGCAGTATGAATATCTGATACCACTTTCTGACAACTAAAATGATTGCTTGTTTCATTTTCTCTCATTTTTGTGCTCCTGCTTTCTGTTCTTTTAGTCCCATTTAGTCTCTCATTTCTCTCTCTTTCTTCCTCTCCGCAGACAGTGGAGCTTAAAGCAGTGAGTGACGACAGTGTGTTTTGGCGAAGGGGCATCAGGAAACATGTAAACTGGTGGTTTGACTGCAGAGCAATAGCTGCACCAATAGAGCACAGAAGAGAGAGAGAGCTATATGTGATGTCTCCATCATCAGGCAGTCTGCGTCCCGGCCAATCCATCTGCTTGATGGTCAGCATCATCCCTGAGGCTATCACAGCAGGTGAGAAATGTTTGAAACACACAAACACACATGATGATGATGGATTACTTTATCTTATCCTGCCTGCCCCTCTCAAACGAATACACACTCATGTCATTGTAAATACACAGCATTTTTTTCTCTTACAGACATACTCAGATCACACCATCACAGTTTGTATCAATTGACCCATTTCTTCCCGCACACACATATGTCTGGAGGAAAACTAGACAATGCACAACATATGTCAAAGCTTAATTGAGTGCAGCATCCCTCAAAATATAATTTCACAGGGGGCATAATTAAGAAGGTGGAACATAACTAAGTCTAAAATGAAATAATACTCAGTTAAAGAATGTTCTCATGCAGCTTAGACCATTAAATCATGGGGCCTTAATAATCTTTAGTGATGGACCATAAACAAGGAAATATGTTTCGCCTTGGGAGCCAGCATCTTAAGGCAGTACTTAATCTTTGCAACCTTATGGCCACCAGAAACAGGCTGGTGGTACTTTTTTATTTTGTCCAGTCGTTTTAGAAAGAACGCTTTCCTTTTTCAACCTAATGCCAGAGTATAGCCATTAAGCCTCAGAAGACATAAGACCTCCTTCTGGCTTGACAGATCTTTAGATGTTATTCTATTGGATGCCATATAACATTTCTACCCACAGAACATAAAGTCTTGTACAGCTTGCCTTGATGAATGTTATTTTTTACGAGTCCTTGTCGACACACTCATCTCTGGCACTAAGATTGCTGTTGTCGCCACACCCTCTACCACGCCTCTCCTCCCGCTGTGGCACACGGCAAGTCACCAAAGCCCTTTCCACACTGCACCTGGCCCCAGGCTAAGTGAGCTAGGACTAAGAAAGCATTAACACTGACACAATCCTAACACATTCCAAGTGGGCTAACCCCAACTTTAGCTGTAGGCTTGCTGGCCCTGAGTGGAAGCAAAGTTATCCTTGAGTTTACAAAGTTGACTAAACATCGGGCTCAAAGTTGCCAGTGTGAAATGGATCTAATGGATTTAGCGTCACATTTTTGTTGTCTAATCAAATGACTTCTTCGTCACGTCATCAGTGCATGCATGCCTTAGTTTACATTGTAACCATGGTAACTACTACTAACCTAACCAGAGGTTCCTAATAAGCCGGCAAACTTGATACCACAATATTTCTGGAAAAGACTGCCAAAAGGTAAAACAAGCCCTCAAGATACCAAGCCAGCTTAGTCAAGGAAATAATCTCAATGTATCCCAAGAAAAATACCAGTTTGCCGAGTCACAATGGCCACATTTATGGGGAATATGCCTCGTTGCAATATTCCCAAAATTTCCTTGTAACTGATTTTACCTCATGAATTGTAGATGCTGACATGTACTGATTGAATACCCATTGATAGCACAACCACAGCACTAGATGCATGTACCATACATGATCACATTGTATAGTGTTAACATCTTTTCATTAATTTTATGATATTAAGCAACAGTGGGCCATGCTCATACTTACAGAGCTGGATTTACATCCAGGTAACCTCTATTTCAACTTGTCTTAATACTAAGTAGGAGACTACTGCCCCGCAATTGCTGTGTTTATGTTCTTCCATTTACTGTGATATAGAGCAGTAATCAAGTTGAGAAGAGGGTTTGCACTGGCAATAGTTTTGCTAGATGTGTTACTGAGAAGGGGAAATTAGGAAGTTTTTCTTTAACTTGCTTAATGTTGTTTCTGCTCTCAACAATCTGCATTGGCATCAGAAATTTGTTGGAGAAAACACACACAGCTCAAACTCTCTCTGCCACCTCTCTAGCCCTGAGGTGTAGAGGTGTGTTTGTAGAGGTGCACATCATTCCCAGTGGTTATGTTGGCTACAAACCTACAAACCTGGCTACACATTGTACTTGATGCAAAATTTTAAAGTCACCTTTAGTCTACACCGACTGATCTATATGTGTATATTTAATTTTAGGGTCTGGCAAAGTGACCAAACTGTCCCTCCCTCTTTACCTGGGATACGAGGAAGGGGAGGGTATAGGACGAGAGCAGGAGCATCAACCTTACAGACAGCTGTCCATCACTATTACCCTCCAGCTCCCCTGTATCACCATTCACCCCCCTCAACTTCTGCTTACACCAGTACCCCTGGAAAGCAATGCAACTGCCACATTCACCCTGCTGGCCTCAGGATATCGTAGGTGGGTTTATGTACACACACAGACACAGTGTTTTCTTTTCACCCAAGGCCAAAACCTGGTCCAGTAACAGTTACATTTTATGAATGCCTCACTTTTGATTATTTGGATCATGACACACGGACAGCTGCTCTGTGATCACAGTTGTAGTCGTCAGCTTTTCGGTAAGCTGAGCAATAACACTGATGGATTTTTATTGTATTTACATTTTTCTAGCTTGTGGCAGTTTACCAGCTGTGTTGAGCCATTGGAGCTAAATGAATGCAGAGGAAACATTACCACACACATAAAATGACAACATTATTCATTTCAGTGGGATTTTTATCATTCAAGCCAGGACTCATTAACTGGCAGGTCTGCACTCATGTTGGATTTTGCTTACATTCTAAGCCAACTAGCTAATCTGCATTCCTCAGTGGTTTATGTTGTTGTTACGTTTTCAGAGTGGACAGCAATCTGGCTGCACTATTACAGTTCTGGCAGCATTTTCGGACCCAAATCCCTGTGACTGACTGAACTGAGCAACATAGTGCATTTCTTGAAGAAAACCTATCTAGGACACTGTTTACACGTTATATCTACATCAAACAATACAAAATGACTTCTCTGTACCAATGGCTTAATGTGAAGATGGACAACGCGTCTCCTCTTCCTCCCACTGTACCAAAATTAAGCCAAAATATCCCAGATACGGCTGCTGCCATCCTGCACTGGTGATGTCATTGAGAGCCAGAGTCCAGCAGTAGCAATTTCAACGGTATAGAGTTTCTCTCGTCTGACCAATTGTGAGCAAGACGATTGATCGCAAGCACACTGATTGGCACACACAGCCACCACACAGCCCACAAACTTGAGAAGGTTTCTCATTATATTGCATGGTAGCAAAAAAATGAAATGCTGTATATATAGGAGATGTTCTTTTTCTACATATCCACTGTGTGTCCACCTTTGCAGTGGAACCATGGTATCAGCTGAAGTGGATGAGGTGGAACTGGAGGATGGGACAAAGATACAGCCTGTTTCTGTTATCTTTCCAGAGGGTAACAGCATCCCTGTCCAAAACCAGGATCAGGTACAGCCCTGTACTTTTTCCACTATTATAAAAAGTCATGGAGGAACCATCTGTCCAAAAAGCGTATTTTCCTGTTACTTGCCTCAGTGCAGAGTTTGGTGGCATGTGGTCCAAATGTTGTCGTCAGGAATTTGGGGTTTTTTCAGTGGTGATTTATGGTATCAGAGGGGCTTTGTCCCCACCAAAAAGGTATTATCAGGTCTACAACTAGAATTAATGAATGCAATTCATCCTTTGGAGGTATTCTATTGTGGATGAGTAGGCAAATTAAAATACTACTCTAACTGTGATTAGTTGTAGTTTGACTCAGAAAGTTGCTTTCCCAAGACTGTATTGATATGGGTCCACACTAAGCCTAAAAAGATCTGTTATGCATCTGCTATTGCTGTATTTATCTGTATCTTTTTCCCACACTGTCTCTATTTTATATTGCTGTTTACAGAATATTCACACAGTCTTGACACCATCATGTTTATATAAATTCCAGTCACAACATGAGGCTGATGTCTCCCCATTCAGTTTTTGAAGCGGCTCAAGCAAAACCAAATTTTGTGCATCCAGATCCGTCTCAGCATTCGTCATTCAGATGACTAAAACTGGATTAATGTGACAAGTGTAACTGATTTTCCTGGCTGACACTTTAACAGAAATACTATTGTGATCTGGAATTATCCCAGTTTCTTACTTTATCTTCGACCATAGAGACACCCAGTAGGTGTTCAGAACCAGGAGGCCTCTCTAAACTGCATCGTGTCCTTCATCTCTGCTGTCCCACTTTCTGTCTGCACCACCATCACCTTCACTGACCACCTCCACAACAGGTAACTGCTTATTCCAAATCACCACGCTTAACATCTCTTTTTCTTGTCTGTTTGACTTTTTGCCTACTCTCCTTCTTCATCCCATTCACATACCGTTGTCAAAAAAGTTAAAATCCCTTCTATTTGTCAATTTGTTACAGCCCTCTATTTTTCTATCCCTCTTCTCCCCTCTCCATTTGACACACTCCCCACATTAAACACATTGTTGGTTTGGTGTTTTAATGGAATTTGTTGAAGAAAACAAACACAGAGAATATCAACAGCATTATCCTTCAAACCCATATATTTAAAGTTGATTCAGTCTGATAACTTGACTTTTTTCTCATTGTCTCTGCTGCCAGGTTTAAGGTTAAGATGTGTGGTATCGCTGACAACTGTCTGTTAACAGTCTGGCCCTACATGGCGCTGCACCGCTCCGAGCAACAGATAGTTCTCAAGACTGGTACTGGTACTGTATATATACACAAAAACACAACAATGTTAATCTGTGTAAACATTATTTCATAGCTGCACAGTTGTCATTGTTTGGCCAAATTAAGATCAGATAAGGATTTGTTGAGCACCAGAAGGAAATGCAGCTGATGCAGCAACAATAAAAGACAAAAGTACATACAGATTAATAGGGTGGTTAAAAAAAAAAAAAAAGAATTATTAGAATGAAACAAGAGGTATATACAGGTAGTACTAGAATAAAAGTAAAAATATGAACTATACAAGAACAATTAAACAATTAAGTAAGATTGTAGCATTATGTGTGTGGTGGCTGTTTATTTGCTGTTTTGAATTAAATAATATGGCAGTCACTTGATTCATGTCGTGAACCCAAGTGGTCCTTGCTCCACCTGGGCAAATCACAGACACACCTGCACTTAAACAGGACCAAGCTTGACCATTCAGGGCTCAACAATAAGGATTGCCCGATTACCCAGGGCAAGTAAAACTCGAGGTCGGGCATGTAAACTAACAGCTCACTTGTCTGATTGGGCAAGTTGCTAAAAATAGTAAAAGTAACTAATTGATAAAATAAATGTATTTTAAAACGTGCTCCTTTGGCTCTGATGCAGCGGTCTCTCTGCCTGAAGTCACAAGCACATGCTGTGTAACAATGTCCTGCCCACAGCCCCCATTGATATTATTTTGTGCGACGGATGCTTCATATAATAACAGAACAATATACTATTTATGGTGTTATGTCATTGTGTCATTTCTGTCTCTACATGGTCACGCGTTAACAATTCTCCTCTGCTCTCTATCGCGCACGGCAGAGTTCCGCCACACACACAGGTGATCACGCTAGAGCGGCTCGGCCGCATTTTCCTGACCAAATCTGACCCCGAGCCCGGTCAGTTTGTCAGCTGACAAAGTTATTGTTATGGACACTGTGTAAATAACCAACAGACTGCTGTTACGCACAGACAAACAGCTGCTGGCACAGCAGCGTAGCACGGCACTCCTGCTGAGCTTGTGTTGCGTTCAGGCGTTGTCACGTAAATAACAACTTCCAACACTTAAATAGGTCATAGCACAAAACAGCAGCATGTCAAGTGACTTTTTACTTTTATTATATTCAATAAAATTGTATGTTCTTAAATCTTGAGACACCTCATATGTAAGCTAGACAGATATTTCACCTGCTCATTACTGTGCACACATGTACTGTATGTACTTAGTCCTAAAGAGCCCTTCTGGTGCCAGTAGATACATAGAAACATCCCAGCAGGCTGTGCTTTGCAAGCATACAAAAAAGTTTCACGCATGTGAAAATTATTTTTCATGCGTGTGCTTCACCTCCGCTGCTACAACTCCATCCTAGGGGAAACACTGCTGTGTGCGTTTTATGCAACAGGTGGATGTGGTAGTCTACTGGTAGAGTAGAGAGAGAGCTAAATAGCGTTGAAGTAGAGTAGAGCAGGGCAGAGAGATGGAAGCAAAATATATTAAACCCAGTGTTAATACAGCAGAACTGGAGAGAGGGGTGAAAAATAAATAGAGGTGGGCATGGCTCAAGTAGGGCGCAAAATTATAGATGGAGAACGATTGACAAATTTTTCACTTTAAGCCCTGACACTGTCATTTTTGTGTAGGAATTAAGCTACAATACATTACATATGTTGTTTTAATTAATAAATAGAGTGTGAATAAAGATTACATAACATAAAAATAACTGCAGTCTTTGTTATTTGATAGTCGCTTAAATTAAACAATTTTTATAGGACAAGTAAAAACTGACTTCGGGCAAGTAGATCTCTGACCAACTTGCCCGACCGGGCAAGTGAAAAAAAACCTTAGCGTTGAACCCTGCCATTCTTGTTATGCAAACAAATTTCAGTTTCTGTTACCTGAGCTTCAGAATATTAGCTCGTCCAAATCAAGCTAACCATAGCTTTATTTGTCTCAGCGACAGCAGCAAACACTTAGAAGTGGTGCATGGTGAAGCCTAGTTTGTAATTGTATCCATTTTCTATGGGGCATGAGCGATAAGCTTCTCAAGACCTCATAGTGAACAACGTATGATGCACATCAAAACACCCAAACCTGTTGTTTTGTATCTTAAGTCCTACACACTGGTGGCATGTTGTCTCATGGTAATTCTCCAGAAAAGTGCAACTTAATCACATTGGCATGGCCACTGTACGCTGACGACTACTACTCTCAGCATCACGTGTTCGATGTGTGCTGCCTGTCATCCTCAAGTGTGGCAGAAAGAGGGAGAGAAGTGGTTGAGCAAGACAGTGAGTGGGTTTACTTGGACAGTTTAATTCCCTTTTCATTCGGAATGAAAGTTCATTCCTATTAAATGTGATCTTGTAAACAACTAATTTGGAATGAAAATGGCCAATGCAATTGAAAATTCAATCCGACGTAAGGGGCTGGAATATTCCGTTTCTAAATCCTAATGAAAGAATTTCTCGCATTTGTATTTTGTCTTTAAAGTCTGTGTAAAGCAGCAAAAAAATGTCTGTTATAAGTTTGTCACATCACAGAAATATGTGTCATTAATCAAATTTGAAAGATTAAAAAAATCGCTAAGTATATAAAATTAGCTCTCAAAATCATGGAAAAACAAGCACTTCTCTCTGCTGTGAAACGCTGGGGCGTGTCCGGAAGGGTATGTCTGCAGCCTCTTGTCTCATGACTCCAGGCTGCAGCCATTCAGTCCACGCCCACTCACGGGAGGGAAGCCGCCTCTGTGTGCTCTGTGTGAACGGGAGGATGTAATCCAAGGAGGGAGACTGTCGGCTCCACTGACTGAAAATATTTTTTCCAGCGGATGTCTTAGTTACAACATGATTGAGCTAACTGGAGTAGTTTCGTGTCATGTCCGACAACGGGAGGCTTTTAACAGATGACGTCCTGATGTTAGCTTTGCTGCTGCTGTTAGCTGTCCCTGTCAGCTGCAGCCACTGATGCTTTCTAGACATCGTGATTTCCCAAAACTGAATCAATACCACACATAGCAACACGAAACTGCTTTGCTAGCTTAATCATGTTGTAACTAAGACATCCGCTGGAAAAAAAATAAAAATTTCACGGACCGTTTATTGAGTTACTGAGTTATTATAGAAACGGCTAACGGCTAGCCCAGCTAATCTACGATAACCATGTTATTAATTACAAAACATGCGCACAGAAATAGTAATGTTTGTTCAGTCATTGTGTTTATAGACTTTACAAACATCAGATTAGTCTAAACGGTGATACAGTGACATGAAAAATGTGAGATATATANCAGACTGAAGCTCCCAGAACCTTCAGTCTGACATCACCTCCACTGAAGGCGATTTACAAGGGGGAGGGAATTTGATTTTTCCCTAACCAATCAGTAGAGATCAACGACTCACCCAGAATCTGACGTCATTAGTATCCATGCCTCGGGGGTGCCAAAAACAAGCGAGCATTGCCCGTTTAAAATGTCTCCGTCGTCGTGCACGCCCAGCTGCATCGCTGCATTAAATCCAGTTTAGCAGCTTCCTTAATTTGATCCTCCATTAACGAAAATTAGCGAAATACCTCGATAGCATCGTTAATGTGGTCTGTGGGATCTGTAGCGGTCGCCATTAGCGTGGCGCTGATTGGCTAATCGCTAGACCCGCCCCCACCCCCGGCGTTCATTGGTCCGTCCATCGTTTGGACGAGATAAATCGCAAATTCATTGCAGTATGCCAGACCAGAGATGCAAGCCTACTCAGTTGAGTGGGCGGGGTCTATGGTCTGGAACCAGGCTAATATATATATATATATATATGTGTGTAGCTAAACTCTGCTGGTTTTCTACCCGGAAGTATTTGTAAACAACAAGGCGATTCCCTCTATTTATACTGCTACAGGGGGCGTGTTTGTAGCAGGGATAGCTCCATTACATAACGCGGCTATGATTTAAGGCTCGCCCACTAAATCCAGAACACAGAAACCTAGAAACACAGTTTGTGAAGCCTAGCTCCACAATTCAATTGTAAATGGTTGAAAGGCTTTTTTACACATTTTGAGGAATACTTTTATGACCTATTTAATGTGTTTAGAAGAAAATAGCAGAATTGGCTTTACACAGACTTTAAGTTCATTCCGGTGTTTCTGCGCATGCTCGTTTCCTTGCCCTTCTGGCGCGATGACGTATACAGCGTGCATAGCAACGGGCTGAGATAGAGCATTCGGACTCGTTGCACTCACCGGTTTCCATTCGCCTAAGCACGGTCTTCTATCTCCCTTCTCCGACCTTCTACCTCCCTTCTCCTCCTCAACAGACGAAGCATTAGCAGAACAAGGTTGTTGACATACTGCTGCTTCAAGTATATAAGCAAAACAAGCCTGAAAAAGGCACTAAGAATGGCGTCGTCAAGCATCTTGTTATCTGGAGTGAGGACTACAGTTTTCTTCCTGTACACGTAACATCCGTCCCGCCCCCTATCCAATCAGAAACATTCCCTGCCCCAAACCTTGCACGCACCCGAATAAAGGTGATTAAACTGATCTCCCTTGTAAACCCTCATTCGGAATGACTTTCCCATGTAAACTACCTGGAAACACTTTAATGCCGAATGATTTCATTCAGTTTTATTTCATTCTGAATGAGAAGCCATCATGTAACCGCACCCAGTGTCAAGAAATAGGGACAGGGCTGAGCAGAAACCACAAACACTTGAAACCTTTTTACAAGTCAAAAGACAGAAAAAAATATTAGGGCTGCACTTTTCTTAACCTAATCCACTTTTCAAACAGTCATTTTGTTTATAAAATGTCAGAGAGAGAGTGTAATAGAGAGTGTAATATTTCAACATTTGTCTCCTTGTGTGTGTTTGGTTCATGTGACTGCCATTTAGGTGCCACAGCTGTTGAGGTGATCCTTCAACGCTATCACACACCAAGTCCTACCTCTGGTCCGACTTCATCATCTTCTTCGTTTGATCACAACAGCTCAACAAACAAGAACTCCGGCTCAGGTCAGAACATGAAATGTACAATGCAACTGTGTTTTACTTGTAATTGTTGTGTATCTCTTGTGCATCTGAGCAGAATTGTGTTTTATGTACAGTACTCTGTGTGTGTGTCCGTTCTTGTCAGACTGTTTTCCAGACAGTGACAGTGTGAGCGGTCAGGCCAGCAGGGACACAGATGTCTCTCCTAACAGAGACACCCCAGTCAATCTTGGCGCCCCAGAATTCCCTGCTGCCAACTCAGAGGAAGGACTATATTACCATAATGTATTATTGGCTGTGGAGAGGTGGTTTAGCCTCTTTGGATGGCATAATAGACCACACCCCATCTCTGTGCCACACACACTCAGAAGGTATGTCCAAGATAAAAGTTTGGCTCAGGAGCCTCATTTGGAGGCGGGTCAATGTAGATGACTTTCACATTTACGGGCTTTTTCTGTTACAATGTATGTTTCCTCTCTCCCTCCAGAGTTGTGTCAAAAATTCAAACAGATCATTCCAGTGGACGGGCTTATCGAGTCAGTCAAAATAAAGACTCCAGGTGTGTATATGTGTGATGAATCCCCAGAGCAGATAGTTAAAAATGTTTTGTGGTTTGGTGCCTAAGAAGTTTCAAATGAGTCATCCTCATGCTGAAAAGTAGTGAAGGCTGATAAAGCAAATATCATGACAAGATCACATAGAACTGGGTGATTAAATCTAGTCAACAACCATGATGAAACTAGGCAATTGAAAGGGATTGAAAGTGTGCACCTTGAAAGCAGTCTGCCTAATGAATACTGATTTTATATGAAGATCTCAAGATTAGACAGAGGCTCTCATGGAAATTATCTTGTCTCTTAAAATAAGTCTGTTTTTTAAATGGCAGCGGACAGTAGCAGCAGACAATCTGGTTTGTAGTTATTATTGATTATTTAGACACTTAAAATGGGTCAAGGGAAATAGTAAAATATTCTAGAATTGAAGCTCTGGTGGGATTTAATTTCGTATTAGTGTGCATTGATCTGGCTCCAGATGCAAGGCGGGACATAACTCTTGTATTATTGTGTCCAGATCTGTAGTGGACATGCTTCATCATCTCACTGGCAAACAGATTCCTGGTATTCCTCGCTGTCAGACGTTTTCTAGTGATATAGACCAGCGCAGCAATCAGCTGCTACAACAGCATGAAGCTATGCTTGCTTTTCTCCGGTAGGCCTTACACACATTGATTCCATTCTACAATGCTGCTGACATCGTTTGTTTGATTAACACACCTTACAGACATGCATTTTGTTACAGACATGTGCGGGCAATTTTACATTTTAGTCTTGTGTTTGAGTACGTGCTTGAGTAACATTTATGTAAAAGTCACAACAGCAATCTCATGAGGTTAGACCCAGTAACATTTATGTAACAAGTATGACATAAATGCTGTCAGCAGTACAAGGTAAAACATAAATGTATGCCATGAGAAGAAGACAGTCATGCATGGGCTGCAACTACAGTTTCAGTTTCGATTGGTGAAATGTGTCATGTTACTAATTTTGCCCATTTTGGTGAAATGGGCCATTGAACTCTAATATCGTGCTAGCGTTGTGGCTTATTCCTTTAATGGCCTGTCATGTCTAAACAAAGTAAGGACCATTTATGTAAATGACAGCTACTGCATGTTTGAATGGCAAAGTGCCACAACTTAAACAGATAAATGAACCCAGCAACGTTACATTGTCCTTGTCTGAAAAGGGTTTAAGTGACATTTTGGAAACTTTTTTGGGGTTCCGGTCAGTTTTTCTGTTTATTGTTATCTGTGTTCAGGGTGCAAGGAGCCTGCCTTTCTCACATCAGACCAGAGTACTTGCTAGACATGCAGGAGTTCAAACACTGGTGCTCTCTGCAGGTACAGAAACACATGCACACACAACACATTGGTCCGAGACCTACGCCATGTAAATAGAATTACATGAGACAGAAAACAATTGCTTTAGTGATGCCTTTTGCTAACAACAAAAAACCTGGTCTCACTCATTGTCTGTCTTTCACGCACGCGCACACACACACACACACACACACACACACACAACATATGTAGAGATTTTGTACCATATACATGACAGACGTGTGTTTATCTCAAAGGAAGAAGAGCATGGTCTGGACTACAGAATTGTTGACTTTGAGTCTCTGAGCAAGCGATCCTGGACCGATGTGCTGCTACAAACATACAAGGTGAAAAACTAATTCCAGCAGTGCTGTTTCTCTTCATCCACTTTCCACCTCATCAGATTATATTGTGTATTATTTGTGTGTTTTTGGAAATCGCTTCATGTTTTAAGTTCAGTTGACGCCTGAGGAAATTTCTGTACTTGGAAACAGCTTGTCAGTGTGTCTACCTGTGCGAATGTAGAGCACAGAAATGCTGAAAAACACCAGTCTCATTCTGTTAAATGCCAATGTTAAATAATTTTCTGCTTATGCTCAGGTGCTAGTGTTGTGTCGTGTGACGGAAACTGGTTCAAACAAAACTCTGAACCATGACGACATAGAAGGATTCCTCCCTGTCAGCTCACAGCCACTGGCTAGTAACATCTATTCATCGTGCGAGCTCCAGTTGCTCTCATGGCTCAACATGCATTACCAGAACATGAGGAACACTGTGTGGGGAACAGGTACAATATACAGCTTGTACACACACAAACAACTCTTTTTGAGATTCAAGGTTCAAAGGGTTTATTTGTCCCATGCTTATAAACTATGTGCAGTGATATGCAGAGTTTACTCTTGATGCTTTAGTAAAAAGGCTAATGTGCAATGAATGGATAGTAATTATACAAATAAGAGCAACAGAATTACAAATAAGAACTGGTTTTGCATTGAGAAATGCGTGTTACCTATTGTAAAAACTGCAATATCCAGCTGTAAGGCTTGAGGCCAGATTTCTGTTCGTACCTTTTGAAGCCTTGATCCGTGTGGCAATGGTTGGCAGGTGGTGTCCCATCAGCACGCTGGATAGTGAATTTCGACCTGGACTTGACAGATGGACTGGTGCTAGCTGCTCTACTTTCTGCCTACTGCCCTTACCTGGTCAGTGTGTGTGTGCATGCGTCTCTGAGTGTGGCTGTTCATTTTGTGCGGACCCTCTTCAGTGTGTGTGAAGCAATGAGGGATGGCGGTTAATGTCTTTAAGTGGCACTGTGATTGATGTGATGAGGACCCAATTAGTCCTGAATAAGATTAGGGGAGCCTCTTTCATGCTAAGCACCATTTTCTGTGTGTATGTAAGTGTATGAGAGAGAGGGAGAGAGAGAGAGCAGCTCACTGTATTTTAGTGGTGGTGTTTTGCCTGCAAGGATTTGACAGGGAAAATTTGCTTAAATTTCAAAAACGTCTGTCAAAACCCAAAGTTTGAACTTTTTTTTATGCCAAGATGTGATTTAAAAATCTAATTTAAAGAGTGCATATTGCTACAGAGCAATAAGTCACAGGCAACCAAGTAGAGATCTTAATGAAACTTGTGGTTACAGATAAACCTTATCATGATTTTTAATTCCCTCTTTCCTGCTCCTAATTAGATCTGCAGCCACTTTAGGAGGATGTACACTACAACTGGCAGCCTGGAACAGATCCTTCACAACAACATCATAGTGGTTCAGGCCTTAACTGCACTTTGTCTCAACCTAAATGTGCAGGTAAATACCAGATGGGACCAGAAAAGTGTTTCTTACAGCAAGATTACCAGTTAAACCAGGCTTGGTCAGGTAATTTTTCAGGTTTAACCAGTGTTACAGTCAATGAGCCAACCAGCCAAGCGGTCTTCTTCCTTGTCAAAACCTGGCTCCTGCATTACCCACAGTGCAACTTGACTGCCAACAGTTTGGTTTGGAGATTCATGTGGGTTAGGGCCTGTGTCCACCAAAGCATTTTTGCCTGGTGCCTCTTCTGCATATTGACAATATGCTATAAACGCCAGCAGCATGACAAGGTGCTGGAGCTGAAAAATGTTCATCTTTAGGTAAAACGCTGCACTGGTTCCTGACACTTTTTACCCAGTCATCCTGTCACTGTGGTGGAGGGGTGGGGCTATCACAGTGACCAAATCTGTCCACAGACAGACAGATAGACATATAAACACCTGGCAAAGTACTCAAAGTTTTTGCTGCAGTACGTGTCTCCAGGACCACATTTTGCCATACAATACACTAAATACCTGATAGTAAATTCTGTAGTTCTAGTTGCTTCTCTGTAAATTGATGTGATCTGTGCTTGATGTTTAAGGTCTGTGTGTCAAAGTCATGAACATGCAATTCTTAGATCAGACTTAATTGAGTCTATATTATCGAAACACCTCTCTGACGTGTAGTAACTTCATGAAGATACTCAGACAGGCCTGAATTAGGCTCTCTCAGCAAAGATGGACATGCAGAAAGCATTTAATATAATGCAAAAGTTACTACTTTACACACACCAGGTATTTTGTATGTGCACATTGATATACTATACTGTATGAATATGTATATATAATTATGATAATTAATTATTTTATGTCTGAATTTACAGAGACTAAATCCCGCAAGTTATATAAATTAAATGTCATATACATTTTAAGTGCTAGCAATTACTTGACAGAGAAACGTTAACTAATTACAGCATTAATCACCTTAATTAATGACCTATTTAGCATAACAGCAGATGTTTGATATATCCTGATGATAATGTCAGAGATTAGGCAGAACTTTCTTTGTCTCTGTGTCTCCCTGTTTCTGATTGAGTGGTGTGTCTAGCCCACAGATTTGTCAGATCCCAATCCAGTGCAGATGTTAATGCTGTGTGTTCACTTGTATGAGAGGCTGCCTCAGTACCTGCCACTGCACACCATCACTCTATCAGGAGGCCTGCACAGCACTTTCAGTAAACAGGTGACACACACACACACACACACACACACACACACACACACACACACATACGTATAGCATCGATGTTGTCTTAAAAGACACCTAAGTAAAATTTAACTGCATGCCTTGTAAATCAAATAAATGAGCGCTGTGAGACTGACAATGGCTTGGATAATAAGCTCCTGGACAGATAATGACGTGCACACAGACACACATTAACAGGATTATAGACACACACATACATTAATAGGATTATAGACACACCCACGCACACACTAACAGGATTACAAACACAGACAAATATACATTTGGGTAATGATCCACATTGTCAGGTTAAGCCACATTACAAGCCTAACAAAAATAGATGTCAGTTTGTGCTGTTAAGGAAGATGGATTTCATTGTTGTATTGTTTTCTGGCAGAGGCATTTGTCTGTGTGTTTGTGCTTGTGCTTGGACAAAAATGTGGCTATCGCTGTGTGTTTCTGCATGTGTGTTCGTGCGTGTGCGACTGTGCTGCAGGTGCGCCTGAAAAGCCCATCCTCTAAGCCGATCAAATACCAGGCCTTCCTTTTAGGAGAGGACGCACATTTCTTCTGCCTCCCTGATGGATCTTCTGTCACCATTCCTCCAAAGTATGTTTTTTACATTGAAAATGAAAGTCATCACACAAAATACCAAATACCAATATATGGCATACCTGGCTAAGGCATGTAGTCACTCTGCTTAATGCCTGTAAATAAAGGGGATTAACAAAAATCTTTTGATTCAAAGGGTTAAAACACCGTAAAATTTACACAGTGAAACAGGAGTTCCAAAAAATCTGGTAACATTAAATTGATCTTACATTGCAGAGACTGAAAGCACTAGTCACTACGGACATGTAGCCAGAGTTCTTTCTCTCTATGGCTCTGAGACCATCATTGACCTCTCTGGTCTTACCTTAGTCCCCATGAGGGCCATTGTCTTCAAATCATTTCATAGTCTTGAAAGAGACTTTAAGATCTCCTGCAATTTGTCACAAAGATTGACCTTCATTCAGTACGGTAGTTATCCTTCTCTGCCATACTTTACGACTTTAGATTCAAGAATGATTAACTTGTATGTACAGCAGTGATCAACTGGAGGCCTGAGAGTCACATACAGCTCGCCAAAACTTCCCATCCAGTGTGCAGATTATTAATAAATTCAGAAAATGTGAGGAGGAAAAAAATGCTTTCTGGTGTTGAGGATAACTTGCAACCCCCAAAGCAATCATAATAATGTACTTAGTTATTAATGACTTACAAAAATGTGGCATGCAATAGCCCACCTTCCACCTTCTCCTCATTTCCCTCAATATCTGTTTCTCAAACTCACACAAATGCGTGCGGTGCTCAGTCCTTGTGTCCATCCTCAGTCCTGACAAATATACTGCTGTATTGCATAAAGTTTTGGATAGGTGAAGCTGAAATTAATTTCCATCCTTAATAGATGGCATGGTACTTGTGCCATATCTTCATGCAAGAATGGGGACAAACTCATCTCTCATTTAATATTTTGGGATTTTTACTAAAAACATTTCACGTTTTCATTTACTTTTCATTGTATTTATTTTGTGTTATAGAAGTAGTTTTATTAAAGAATTGTTAATAAAATTATTGAACAATAACAGGCCAAATTCAAGGCCTTGGACAAATGTAATTTATGAGCCCTGATGCACAGTACGCTACCTCTTTTCATGGTAGTAGTGGAACTAAACCTGCCAACACAGTGACGCGCAAGCAGTCTAATGTTGCATTAGGCACATAACTAGACTGGGGTTCCAACTGATATGGGCCTTCCTTGGGTGACTAATTAGAATTTGCATTATTTCCATTTTAATCAAAGAATTTGTTTTACATAATGCAATTCACTAAGAATGGTCTTCTCAGGACATATGTATACAACAAAGTGTCTACAGACATATTTTCCAGGTGATAACATGAATAATCTTCCAAAAAAAACTCTTGTGCAGTGAAACTAATTATGAAACACTGGTGCATGCCTTTGTAGTTTACATTACAATAAATGCATTACTAAAACTGGTATTGTTAGCGAAGAAGTGCTGTCTTTGCGTCTGTACTTTCAAAATAACTTGTCTGGGGCAAACCTGTACCCAGCAAAGAAAAGGAAAAAGCCCTCTCAACTTATTCAAAGCAGAGTCCAAGTTGAGTAAAATTGGTTTTGCCTTGAGACTGTAGCTCATTAAAATGCACCAGTTTTGCTCTCAAGTGAGGCTTCACCATAAAAATAGCCTATGTCCCATTTTGAATCCCCAGCTTTACTCTCAGAAATCCTGTCTTTAAGGACAATGGCATTATGCAGAAACATAGTATTAACAATCTGCTGATTCATTATCATTGTAACCTAAAAAACTGAAGGTTGCACAATAAAGTGATCGGTTTGTAAAAGCACTGTGGAGGACATTCTGGTTCCCGCAGAAATGATCAGATGGCTGTGGTAATTATCACAGGGCGAGCACTGAACTGACTGTCCAGTTCAGCTGCTTCAACATGCAACCCATGGAGGCAGTCCTTCTGCTCATCTCCAGCTCTCCTTTTGGCCTGTGCGGCACCACTCTCACCTTCAATCTGAAGACCCACGTCAGTCACATCACACCCACAGTGAGTAAAATGAATTTAATGGGGGGGACTGACTGCCATGCTAAATCTACAGATGAAAGACTCTTCTTCCTCCTGTCTCTCCTTAGAACATTGTCAAGTGCAAGTCTCCATGTTACCAGCCAAAAGTAATCAAAGTGCCCATAACTAATCCTTTCAGTAAAGAAGCTAAGTTCAGGTAGGTGTATATGTCCATGTTCACATGCGTGTACAAAATTTGTAACTGTTAAGAATCCCCTCTTCACACAAAGGTAAGGGTTTAAGTAAAAGAAAAAGAAATATTTAAAGTAAGTTAACAGCATTGTGGCTTTCCAGAGACAAAGTCCCAGTACAGTATGTTTTGTGTGTTGTATTGCTGTATTCAAACCTCTTTGCTGTGTGTGTGTGTGTGTTTAGGGTGGTGCTGGTGGAGTCTCCATTCAACCCATTGGAGCCTGAAAAGAAAAGTGACAACCTAGTTCAACAGGCCTCCTCCAAAGCCAAGTAACACATACACTGTCCACAGCTCTAATTATACACTCACACACAATGAAAGACACAAACTGTATGGCCACACAGTACACTTACAGTTAAAGGAACAGTTTAGCATCTTTCAAGTATCTTGCTAAGAGTTAGATGAGAGCATCAGTGCCACTCCCATATGTGTTAAACATGGAGCTACAGCCAGCAGCCAGTTAGAAAAGCTTAGCATAAAGACCAGGAAGAAAAGGTAACAAAAAACAGCAAAAATAAAGCTTATTTGTGGAACTATTTATTTATAGAGCACATTTGATTACAAAGAAACCCAATGTGCTTTGAATTTTAAAAAGACGGAAGGAACATAAAAAGAACATCAAGCAAATGCCATGTAATGACATACAATAAAATAACATACATGAATACATACACATAATACCCAAACACACGTGCACACATTACTCAGACAATACAGAGGCGCACACACATACACACCACACGCTAATATTGATCATAGGCCTGAGAAAACGGGAAGGTTTTGAGCATAGCTTTAAACAGAGATACAGTACTTATAGTTCACACATCATTAGGCAAACCATTCCAGAGGGCAGGTCTGCAGTAACTAAAAGCATCTTTACCAGCTCCAGATGTTATTCTAGGTACAAACAAAGAGCTACAGTCTGAGTATCTGAGAGATCAGAATGGGGTGTAGTCAGTGAGCAGGTCAGAAATATATTGGGGAGCTTAACAATGTAGTGCCTGAAAGACCAGTAGGATGATTTTAAATTGTATCTCAAACTAATGGGAAGCCAATGAAGAAGAAGTGGAGTAATACAATGGTGTTTTCTTGTACAGGTTAGAACTCTGGCAGCTGAATTCTCTATGAGTTGACATCTACTATTGAATGTTTTAATAATCAAGCGAAAAGGGCACTGCAGTGATCTCATCTGTTCAAAATGAATGCATCAACCAGTTTCTCGGCATCAGGTTGTGATTTTAATCTTAGACTTTTGATATATTTCTTTTGGTGGTAGAATAATGATCTTGTAGTATTTGATATGCAATTTTCAAAATGAAGGTCAGCATCCAGGAGAACCAGTTTAAAACAATGCCTGATACCCCAATGGTGTCATGGAGCGTGTTGATAAAGATCTCATAGTCTATGGTGTCAAAGGTGGCTTTGAGGTCCAGTTAATACAAGAACTGAGAGTTTCTAAGCATCTGCGTTCAGTTTGAGGTTGTTGACTACTTCAGTGCTGCAATGTGATCTGAAACCTGGTTGGTACATATTGTACCTATAGGTACGTGTTTGTAAACAAGGTTTTCAAGGATGCAAATTCATTACATTTGTTTGGTGAGGCAAATTCTAAAGGAAGTGATCTTGTCAGATTAATGAGTTTGTAAATCGTGGAAGCCCTGTTTTTTTTTTAAATTTCAGTGTTATGAGACTATGTTGCATTTTTCTAAATTTCAAGATCAACTTGTAGACTGGTCATTCACCATTTGCGCTCAGCTCTAAATTTACATTTAAAAAGTCACTATATAAAACAGCAACCCATCCTCCCTTTCTAGTGGACCTTGGACAATGCAGGAAAATGTAGTTAGAGGGCAAGGCCTCAATAGGTTCACTGCACACAGTTTGATCGAGCCAAGTTTCTTTTAATAGAATGCAATCCAATTTATGAGAGACAATTATATCAGTTAATGAAAGTTTATAAACTAATGATGTAATGTTTTATAAAGCCATCTTTGAAGTAAAATTACAAGTCAGTAGTTGGTAGAAATCTAGAGGGTTTTATGTCTATAAGACATCGAGCAGGTCTCTAAGGTTTAACTAAAAGTGTGCTGTTGCATGTAGTTCTGCTGTTCACTACAGCACTAATGGGAAGTGTTAATGAGTTTTTGATGTCAGCAGGGGTTGAACTCACAGTCTGTCAGAAAAGTCAGAAATAGGAAGTCATTGCTAAGCCTCGCTCAGGGCTCGACTGGCTTCTGCATGTTGTTGTTGCTTGCAGTATGTCTGTTTCGTGTGCTCAATCTACCAGAATGTACTTGCTTGCTTTATGTGAGGAAGAGGTAAAAGAGTGCTCAGAATATGATAACCTGTGAGATTACAGGATTGCATCATAGATAGCATTTTGAATAGAGTTTTGAAATCCAATATTCGCCTTATGTTTTTGTTCAAGGTAAATATGGATAAATTACTAGATTTTTTAAAATTACAAAAAACAATAATAATAACTAGTAATAATACCCAAATACAAGAGAACACACACAATTTAGTCTAATCTGCTGCTTGTCAAAATACCACTGCTAGAACTTCAAGCAGTGACTTTCCAAGTCAGTGCCACATAAAAGCTGAATTACTCAAGAAATCATCTGTATACAGTTGTTTTAGAGTAACTTATTCAGAGGAGTTAATTTGGAAAAAAGACAGGGTGTTCCTCCCACTAGTTACTACTTCAGAAGTTAGGTAAAGTTAAAGAGAGGTAAAGTAAGAGGATGTTCCTCTGGAGAGTGATGGGTTGTCATTAAGAATAGCTGGTTCATATGCATCTCCCACCACCTGAGACATCTTCAAAGCCAATCATTCCAGTTCCTCCTCCTAATCAGGAGTTGACTGTGAGGATTTGAAGTAGGACTGAGTTCATCTATGGTGCAGCTGAATCAGGTTATGTAGTCTGATATCAATATACGGTGAATGATTATGATTTTTCTCTTCTTTTAGTATCAAGAAGATGACTTCAGACGAGAGCTGTGGGGAGCACATGAAAGGGAAGTGCTCAGATGTCAGTAAGTACGAACACACAAATGCACACGCACTGTGCACTCTGTGTTGCCCTAATTACTGTTTATACATGTATGTGCGTATACTACCTTTAATTCATGTCTGCTTGGTTATGGTCTATAAAAAGTTTGTGTGTGTACCCAGATGGTGATGGCAGTGAGTTCCTGTGTACAGTGAGGAGTGTTTGTCTGAAGCCAAGCCAAGCAGAGACTCTGAACCTCCACTACCTGCCCTTCTGCCCAGGCACCAAGTACTGCTCTGTGCTGCTAGTTTGCCCGCAGGTAAGCGTGTGCGTGTGTGTGCTTGTGTGTGCTTGTGTGTGTCTGGGGCGTCTGTCAATTGAACGAGTTTTGTATTTAAATAATTGACTGTTAAGTTGCATTTTAGAAACTGCAGACAGCTATAAACACTAACTGAAGCTCAGCATTGAGTATCTAGTTTCTCAGACCCTATATTAAATTAGAATAAGTTGAATGAAATCTTTCTATAGTGTCTGTGTGTGTTTGTGTGTGCAAGTTTACATGGTAATTGTATGTCAGTGCAGTTTAATTTCTGCAAGACAGCACTCTAGTTCCATTACAGCAGAGTGCAAAATGGGAAATGCTTTGAGCTAATACCAAAATATCTGTTGCCAATTTTGTACACACACAGACTGTAAGGACTAAAATTTGTATTAACACAGTGTCATTTTGCATTAAGAATCATGTTTCAATATACAGTACAGGCCAAAAGTTTGGACACACCTTCTCATTCAATGCGTTTTCTTTATTTTCATGACTATTTACATTGTAGATTCTCACTGAAGGCATCAAAACTATGAATGAACACATGTGGAGTTATGTACTTAACAAAAAAGGTGAAATAACTGAAAACATGTTTTATATTCTAGTTTCTTCAAAATAGCCACCCTTTGCTCTGATTACTGCTTTGCACACTCTTGGCATTCTCTCCATGAGCTTCAAGAGGTAGTCACCTGAAATGGTTTCCACTTCACAGGTGTGCCTTATCAGGGTTAATTAGTGGAATTTCTTGCTTTATCAATGGGGTTGGGACCATCAGTTGTGTTGTGCAGAAGTCAGGTTAATACACAGCCGACAGCCCTATTGGACAACTGTTAAAATTCATATTATGGCAAGAACCAATCAGCTAACTAAAGAAAAACGAGTGGCCATCATTACTTTAAGAAATGAAGGTCAGTCAGTCCAGAAAATTGCAAAAACTTTAAATGTGTCCCCAAGTGGAGTCACAAAAACCATCAAGCGCTACAACGAAACTGGCACACATGAGGACCGACCCAGGAAAGGAAGACCAAGAGTCACCTCTGCTTCTGAGGATAAGTTCATCCGAGTCACCAGCCTCAGAAATCGCAAGTTAACAGCAGCTCAGATCAGAGACCAGATGAATGCCACACAGAGTTCTAGCAGTAGACCCATCTCTAGAACAACTGTTAAGAGGAGACTGCGCGAATCAGGCCTTCATGGTCAAATAGCTGCTAGGAAACCACTGCTAAGGAGAGGCAACAAGCAGAAGAGATTTGTTTGGGCCAAGAAACACAAGGAATGGACATTAGACCAGTGGAAATCTGTGCTTTGGTCTGATGAGTCCAAATTTGAGATCTTTGGTTCCAACCGCCGTGTCTTTGTGAGACGCAGAAAAGGTGAACGGATGGATTCCACATGCCTGGTTCCCACTGTGAAGCATGGAGGAGGAGGTGTGATGGTGTGGGGGTGTTTTGCTGGTGACACTGTTGGGGATTTATTCAAAATTGAAGGCACACTGAACCAGCATGGCTACCACAGCATCCTGCAGCGACATGCCATCCCATCCGGTTTGCGTTTAGTTGGACGATCATTTATTTTTCAACAGGACAATGACCCCAAACACACCTCCAGGCTGTGTAAGGGCTATTTGACCAAGAAGGAGAGTGATAGAGTGCTGCGGCAGATGACCTGGCCTCCACAGTCACCGGACCTGAACCCAATGGAGATGGTTTGGGGTGAGCTGGACCGCAGAGTGAAGGCAAAGGGGCCAACAAGTGCTAAACACCTCTGGGAACTCCTTCAAGACTGTTGGAAAACCATTTCAGGTGACTACCTCTTGAAGCTCATGGAGAGAATGCCAAGAGTGTGCAAAGCAGTAATCAGAGCAAAGGGTGGCTATTTTGGAGAAACTAGAATATAAAACATGTTTTCAGTTATTTCACCTTTTTTTGTTAAGTACATAACTCCACATGTGTTCATTCATAGTTTTGATGCCTTCAGTGAGAATCTACAATGTAAATAGTCATGAAAATAAAGAAAACGCATTGAATGAGAAGGTGTGTCCAAACTTTTGGCCTGTACTGTAAATAGATGTAATTTTTAAGTGCAACACCTGCACACCCAGTGATACATTCAGCAGGTTTTAATTCCCACATACTGTATCTAGCACAGTGTTTCCATGACAGTGTTTCCACATTAGAATCAGGGCTGTGCCTATCAAATCAATAATGACAATGCTGTATAAATATGTAGGTGGTCATATCATGACCTTAACAATATTTTTGTATATTTTGATTTTGGATCATTGTAGAAAATAAGCTCTGTGGCAAATGGAGTGGTAAAATGCTAACTCAGGGAGGAGGGAGGGGTTGCGTGTGCTGCTGGATCAAAGATAATAGAGCACTAGGCGTAGGGCAGGGTTGTCAGGTCCGCTTATTAGCTGCGACTTTGGGCTTCTTTTTTTGTAGTGTCGCTTACAAATATTGGTAGTCGCAGGTTGCGTTTTTTTGGGCTTGTTTCTAAAGTGGAGTTGCTTATTTGGGCTTGCTCTCTAAGCGTCACCTTTCTCTCTATATATCCGTCTAATAAGTTATTAAATGCATGATAGTATGTCAGACTGCAGGATGTTTCCATAGCTCCGCTCCCTCCGCCCCTCTCCTTCTCCGCATACACACAAGTGACGGTCAGTCAGTGAGACTTTTCACATTTAAATTGCACAATTAATGGAGGCTTTAACTATTTCGCTAACAAGTGGGCGATATATGGAACGATTACAATAAAGATTTGTAGAAAGAGAGAGGATTAAAAGATTGGACTTCAAGAGGGGGACGATTCAAAGGCAGTGTGCAGATTCAGATTCTGTGTGAAATATGTACTTAATCAGATCTTGTTCAGCATACCAGCACTGTTACAGTGAAAGTAAAATGGCTGGTTATATGCAACTTCTTCATTCATTTATTCTTTCCACGTTTTTGGTCAGCTAGTTGGTTTGGTGGAGTTCAAGGGCAGTAAATATAATGTATTTGTAAAGTAATTTTGAAATGGTTGCTGATGAAACGCTGATAAGTCCACGCATACTGCATCCTACATATATA